GGCCAGCAGAAGTGGTGGTGAAGGCTTCTGGGAGTTGTAGTCCAAGAACATCTGGAGGCCCAAGGTTGAGGACCACTGCAGTAGAGCACTCTGAAATGTCTAAGAAAGTAGAACATTAATATTAAAATAACATCTATGATAGTCTTCAGTGAGAGAGACATCATCACATTTTTGTACTTGTCTTTTGTGAGTGTGGTCTTGCAACACTTAGCTCTAAAATGTCCAGGAGGGATATAATTTAGAAGGAGGATAAGTCTGAATTTGCATAAAATGCACAGTATAAGCCCACTTCCACTTTGTGGCACTCAGGCTGTATTTAAGATGCTACTGCACTCAGACCTTCAGTATCTTTAATTTTATATTATTTCAGTATATTAGACTCAAAACTGTGTACCTTTGATTTTGTGAAAATGACACCAATAGTCTTGCTCGTCTTTTTTAAAAATTGTAAATTAAGGCTGCTGACTTATGCTTATAAATGGGACCCCAGTGAACACAGAGGATCTTGCAAGGAAACATGCAATAAATTTGCGCTAGAAGGCTGTAATCCTAAACTAATTAGGGAGGAACCTCCAGATGTCCATTCAGAAAGTTCATTGAGTTCAGAGAGATTAAGATCCTGTCTATATTTCTTTAAAAACCCACAGTATGTAGCATTTTAAATTTAGCTGACTCAAGTCATGTGGTTTTTGAGTTGTATCCTGCATTCCTGCTGAATAATTGAAATGCTCCCTTTTAAAAGCATATGGAAGCTGAGTAATTGAAATGCTCCCTTTTAAAAGAATACGTAAGGTTCCCAACGGGGCTTAAGTCAATTAAGAAAACAGTGTCCTAAAATAAACAGCCCTCTGGTGACCGTTTATTTTAACTTGTTTCCTAAGAAAATAATACGAGTCAGAGAAAAATAAATACATACTCTGGAATGCATTGTGTGAATGTGAAACTCAACATGGCTTTTAACACAGGTCAGATCCCAGCTTTTTTGGCTATGTGACCAGGCCCTAACTCCGAGCTAAGAGTGTGTATTGCACAACAATATAATGCTCTGTCTAAAAGGCTCATTGGCCCTCTAGATTCTTATCAGATTAGGTTTTAACTGATTCAGTTCTGTTTTATTAGTTTGTGGTCCTCCCTCTGTGTCAGAGGGCGAAGAAGCACTGTCTTTTTAAACCACCTGATTTCTCTGCCTCATCACACAGAATTGTCAGAAAAGAAACGTGTTCTGGTTAGCACTCTTAATTAAAGATGAGTTTTTTTCAACCTCATATCTGCCCCTCACTGTTTCCAGTCTGGATATAAAAACAATACTAGTCTGCTATGACTGACCTGATGCTCCTGCAAAAATTCCATCAAAGACCAAAGTATTCTGATCCTATATGCATGTAATCAGAAACGTCTCTTCCTGACTTCAACATGGCTTATTCCTGATTAAGTTTTCAAAAACTGCAATCCTAAAGACATTTGCTAGGGAATAAATCCCATAGAACGCAGATATTGTTATTTAAAGAGTAATGTAGTAAAATACTAGAAGTGTATCTGGTTGCTTTACTGTTTTTCACAATATGGTTATAATTTGTGCCTGTATTAGACTTACAAGCTTGATATTGGGAGGGGAAAAATGGAAGAGCTATTTTACCTAATCTATCCATTCCCTATTCTTTCTCTCTTTACCTTTTTCTCATCCTTGAATGAGTCATATGCTTGCCTGGGGATTCATTACAGCCAGACAGTTCCAAGCCAGCTATTGTAGAGGCTGCATATTTCTGTTATGACAGTAGAAGTGTGTGAATGGAGAAGGGCAGAGCCTAATCACAAAAGAGAATCCCTTAGAGATTTTCACACAAACAAACAGGACTGGGAAAGGATTATCAAAAGGTTGTTAATTTATTTATGGTAACAATGTATTTTAAATATTTTTTTTAGTTATTTAAAATTATTATTTTAGATAAGCAGAGTTTTATGCAACATTTTTAATGTTTACAAAAATAACTGGAATATATATAACTTTGATTTCAACCAGGCCATCCAAGGGTAAAGGTAAAGGTTCCCCTTGACAATTTTTGTCCAGTCGTGTTCGACTCTAGGGGGCGGTGCTCATCCCTGTTTCCAAGCCATAGAGCCAGCGTTTGTCCGAAGACAATCTTCCGTGGTCACATGGCCAGTGCGACTTAGACACGGAACACTGTTACCTTCCCACCGAGGCTGGTCCCTATTTATCTACTTGCATTTGCATGCTTTCAAACCGCTAGGTTGGAGGGAGCTGGGACAAGCGACGGGCACTCACTCCGTCGCGTGGATTCGATCTTACGACTGCTTGGTCTTCTGACCCTGCAGCACAGGCTTCTGCAGTTTAGCCCGCAGCGCCACCACGTCCCTGAGGCCATCCAAGTGCAGGTGAAATTATACATTTGAGACGCTTGTAATTTCTCAGGAGTCATGTCAGAATGAGTCAAGAATTTACTCCAGGTAAATTACATGGGGAACATTTTGTGAAGTGGGAGGACAGTCCAGTTCATTTAAGCTACAAATGAGTGACAGAAGTACACATAAGGAGGTAGACAAGGAAATATTTGGGACGTGGTAATTTTTATGAACATTTCTGCAACACACCTCTGATTAAACTGAAGCATTACTAAAGATCATACCATGTGTGTTGGTAGTGAGCAGTGTCTTTGGCAAATGTGACAGAAATCAGCTCCATATATGAGAATATACTAGCCTAGTCCACATAAGGGTGTCCAAGACTTGGTGTTTTGATGTAGTTTTGCTTTGGATCTGTTGAGTCAGGGAGTGGAAGGCCACTTAGCAGAGGAGAGGCCAGCTGGAGTGGAATGTGCCATAACTAAGTCAACAGGCCATATGTGTGCGCGCGTACTCCTCTTGTATGCCTGTACCATTGTTATCAATTTTACTATTTTCAGAGTGTTATAGGTGAAGGTCTGCATGGTATCCTACACCAAATGTGAGGTAAATTGGCTAAAGAATTTTGTGGTTGTAGTAGTTCTCCATGGTTGCAATCCAGGTAAATTCAGGTTACAATTGTCTATATGCTCATATGTGACAAAGCTTCATTGGCTCAGTTGAACTTATTCCCATGCAAACATACATAGGAGGAACATGGACGGAGTAGAATTATACATGCAATAAAGCAATGCAATAATTTCAATAGAACAGCAGCAGTTAGGCAGGGATCCTCTGTGGCTTTCCACTCTGCAACATTTTCCCAGCTTGGTTTCCTTCTAGTATTGAGCCTAACAGAGAAGAACGTATCTGGGAAAAGGTCTTGCAAGAAGGAGAGAAGCAGAAAACGTCAGAATTTTAAAGCACCCTCTTTTCTTCCTATACATGTGAAACTTTTTCTGGAAGAGTATTCGGAATGCTCCATGTGTGCACATATATGGACATTTTTATGAGGAAAATTCTGGGACTTCTGGCTCTGAATGTAAATGTGCCAATATTCTCAGTGTGTGTTCTTCTACCCCTTGTACAATGGGTCTTTTGGTATTTAATGAGTCTTGTACCGTTACACTGATTCAAGCAGAATCCTTGATCTTCTGAATGAATTGCATTCAACATTGATGATGATGATGATTAACAACAACAGCAGAATATGCACTACATAATACATGCATGCATGCAAGCAAGTATGTACTACTTACTTCCAGTGCAGAACCGAAGTTCCCGAGATCTAATCAGAAATACTTTTTTCTTCTTTTCTTTTTTTCCAGTGGTGCCTTTTCTGAAGTGGTTTTAGCAGAACACAGGGCTACTGGGAAACTATTTGCTGTCAAGTGCATACCAAAGAAAGCACTGAAAGGAAAGGAAAGCAGCATAGAGAATGAAATTGCAGTTCTCAGAAAGTAAGTATGAAATCTGTTCTTTCATTATCCTGGCTTGAACAGAAAAATTGGGATTGTCCTCCAGACTACATTATAATGATAGGAAGGATCAGACCTTGTTGTGGAAGCACAGCTGCATCCTGTTTTGATTTGTAATCTGCTCAGAATAAACTTAAACTATTTTCCAATTTAGGATGAAGTAAATAGCTTATTTTGTCAAGTTCGATTCTAGATTGAACTACTAGATGAAGGTATTGACTTCTTGTTTTTTATATTTTAAGGAGAGAAGACATTTGTACTTAACAGTTGCCATTGTGAATTACCAAGTTACCCATTAAAATTATTTTTCTTGCATTTTAAGTTAAACTTGTTTAGCCCATTTTATTGCAAAAATATAAATTTTGTAAGAAGAATATTTAAATAAATGGATCTAAATATTGAATCCATTTGGCAGATCATGTGTTCAACTTGGACTTATGTATTTTGGCGGTAGTTTATGATCTATTGTTGGGAGAGTCCTCAGTAACTCTTTTATGTATCAATCATTGTTTGAGTTAAACGTTGGATTTCAGAATCCCTCCCAAATAGAAAAGGGAAAGGACTAAATATTATGGTCTGCCCTGGGAGACTTTACTGGTATCTCTAAATTCCCATTGTTTTGACTCACCATGCTACTGACATTCTAGTTGATATTAAGGTTGTCCCTAGAATCACTCCCAATTATCCTTGACTGAGGGTGTGACTACAAGCAGCAAAATGTCTGATAGAAAGTGTGTTCAGTAATGTGTACAAGCAGCATGTGCTGCTGAGTCACAGCCAGAATTATGTCAGAAATCATGAAAAGTGCTCACACAGGGGTTGTGGATTGTTTCAGGAGTTTACTCTTCCATGCTGGTTGTGAATCAAGTTGCATTCCAGCCCAAAGTGCCTCCCCAATTCCTTCCTGGTCCTGTCTCTGTTGACCCTTTAATGGTTTTCAGCCCAGAAGAATCCCTTCCTCAAAGCAAGAGTAAAAGGAGATAAAGGAGCTGCAGCTAAGACCCAAAGGAAATGTTGCCTCAGAAGGGATGTTATGCAGCTCAGTGAGACTTTGCCCAAAGGTCTCGGTGAAGCAGCTGAAACTCCCAACTGAATTGTTTTGGAAATTTCCTAGATGGTAGGAGTCTTATATGTGCAGCCAGGAAAGAGCCATGGGGCGGATGTTAGTGGGTATGTTGGTTGGATGCCAGGGTGTTCGGTGAGGTTGTAAAAGTTGTGTCGCTTGATATGGTCCAGGAGGACCCATGTGCCAGCACTCTCAGTCAGGTATCTTCTCTGGGAATCCTCCCCACTTAAGCCTCAGATTCCTACAGAATACAGAACATCAAAAGCTTGAACAATAATTTTGTGAAATACATCATGATTCACAACTCACAATTATTCTATACAGGATCACCACTTCCTATCACCCATCTGTTACTCCTTTTGCTTACTTTCAAATGACACATGCAGGAATTACTGATCTCTAGTTGCATCTAATTTTAAATTTGTCCCTCCCTCAAGTGGCCACATCACTGAACCTCATCACCTACAGACATGCTCCTGTCTTTACAAGAACTTTCTCAGGGGGAATAGCCCGATCAAATCCTTCTGCCTTGAAAAAGTAAAAGCCCTCTAGAGTCAGGAGTGGGGGAAAGCTGCTTTGGCAGCAAAAAAAGGCTAGAAAGAATTGAATCAACCATAGCACCTTGGAGACAGAAAAAAATTATTTTGAATTGACCCATTTTGTGAGTGGAGCAAATCCCGCAGTATTTGACCATGTAGTCACCCTCTGAGTTGTAGAGTTGACAAAGAGTCTTCGTATTCTGATGAACTTATAGGGTCAACTGAAGGCCAACTCTGTGGTAATGATGGCCACAAAGAAAGTGGAGGGGGGGAAAGCAGCTTTGCAAAAAGTGGGGGTGTCTTATACACAGAAAATATGGTAGTTTAAGTGATGAGAGTCCTTATTGAGACAAAATCAGTAGATTAGAGAATAGATTATAAAATATCAAAAGCCTATTGTGACCACTTCACAATGTATTGTTTGGATGACATGCTTTGTATCTGTACCAGTATGTTTTTGTCTTCTTCTGAGCTGGATGTAGCTAGATTATTCCTGGGTCCTTTTGTAGTGGCATCTATATAGCTTTTGCAGCCTGACATTGACAGTCACATTCAGGGTCACTGCAGGAAAAGACTGGATCCATCACCTTCCACCACTTCCTCAAACTGGCCCTCTACTAAAATTAGTGTCAATAGCATGGCATTATTATTTCCCTTTTTTTTCTATCCTTCCACACATTTTCCTACAGCTGAGCCCCTGACATGTAGGTGCCAAACCTGTCTGCATATCTAGAACACTTCCCAGCATATGCTACTAAAATTAGATACATACATATGCAGGTATTCTTTTGCCTTTGTTGCCTTCCTCATTGCTTACCATAAGATACATCTTCAGCCTCTGATGTCTGCATTGGATACCTCACTACTAAATAAAAACTATAACCTCCTCTCTGGACAACTGTGCTGTGAATAAAAATATTATTCATTCTTGAAAATGATTAGAGCGCAGCCTGGACTGTGATGACTGGCAGTTCCCTTTTTATTCTAGCTTTATATGACAGCATGCAATGTAGAATGTTGGCTGGTGTTCATAACATGCTTTTCACCAAGCCGTAAGTCTCTAGTTTCAGATCAGAATCTATGCTATTGTAATTTAAGTAGGTCAGTTACTTAAATGGAAAATATGAGACTCTGTGCCCTCCAGTAGAGACAAGGAGAAAAACTTTGAAGCAGACTGTCTTGGTTTTGTTTGTATCCAAGGGGGTGTCTTCATTACCATATATTTATGGGTTGGGTGAATGTGCCCCAGTGTGCAGGTGTTCTCCTGTATTTATGGAGCCTGGGGGTGGGGAGGGAAAATATTTTAATTATTGCAACTCCCAGAGTCCCTCAGCCAACAAGGCAAGTGGCCATTCTGGTTGGGGGATTCAGGGGGTTGAGTCCAAAACAGTAACTTTTCCCATCTGTAGCAACAGGACCACTCAAGCTTTGTACATTAAGAAACTGTGGGAGAATGCTTTTGTGGGGGTACCATTCCCAAGGCTCAGCCACATGGGTGTTCTAGTGAGGGAAAACTCTCCTAGCATCCTGTGGCTGCTTCTGAGGGGAGGAGCTGCCACCATTCCTCCTCTTTCTCATTATCATAGAGAGCTTGCTATAGAACCCCTTCCCTTAGGCCAATGAGAGGGCTTGATTAATTGCCTTTCTCCAGACCAACCCTAATAACATGATGTAACCATTGTCCTATCTGAACTCTGTCTACTATCTGTAATGTTGACACTACCTGTGACCTTGTAATGTTAATAAAAGAGCAGTCTCCTGGGGGCAAGGAAGCAGAACATTGCAGAAGGCAGAACGTCACAGACGGAGAAGACTTCTCATTCTGCTTCCTTGCTGAGTCGCCCACCAGGAGTACTGCTGGCAGACATCCATCTGTGTGTGTGTGGCTGACTTCTTTAATCTATTGCTAAGAGACTCTTTGCTATCCATTATCTGGTGATTACTACAAAGCCCATCAGCCTGCTCATTGCCTGAACCCAACATGCTTTCATCTCCCTGAATACTCTTATATTTGGCCTCAAGATGGTGATCTTTGAAAAAAGGAGCTTCATAAACAGAGGCCAAAGGGAAATAGCTAAATAAATACTTTCCATTCTTTCTCCATTGGCTTGATTACAAATCATTATATATTTTAATCAGCTCATTCATGTCAGTTTGCTTGTATTTCTACTCAGGTGCCATGTGTTTTGTGACAACTGTTGGTCAGTTTTCTCTAGTTGTAATTTTTATACTCCTATTTGTAATTTTTATAATCTGTCTCTCTGATCTCAACCCTAGACCAATTGTGAGCCATATTTTCCCACTACAATGGGCTTAAAACAAAGACTTTTCTCCAGATCTGTTTACCTATGCTAAGATGTACTTGTCACCCCTCGGTGGCCTTTGAACAAACCTTAACAACAACTGCCTCCAGGCCTTCAGCAGTCATTAACAGCCACTGATAGATAATTTCCAAACTGGTCCATTTGCCTTTATCTTACATTGTGGACTACCCTCCTCAGGTTTGCATCAAATTCTATCTAGCTAAAAAAACAGACACAGCTTCTAAAAATTTGAGCTAAATACACCATGTTGCGAGTTAGGGAAGTCTAACTTTCTTAAGAAACCTGCTTTTATCATCTCCTTGTATTTTAGCTAGCACTATATCATCTAAAGCCATAAGGGATTTGTGATGTTTACCACGTGTAACCCCTGCTTGTTTTTCCCAAACAAAGGGCTCACACTATGTCTTCCCACCAGGAGATAACAATTGGGATGTTCCCCCTTTTTCTCACTGCCACCAGTGGATTTCCTTTATCCACAACGTATAAAGACTCAGACACTTGTCAGATTGCTGCCAACAGAACTGATTTATTGAAAGGTGTTAACTTTAATCAGAATCACAGATGTTATTTATTCAATGCATATACTCAAATCATTTAAATATCATAAATCTTGCCACCTTCACCACCTGCTCAATCTACAGTGATGCCTCTCAAGACGAAAATAATTCGTTCCGCGAGTCATGTCGTCTTGTGAAATTTTCATCTTGCGAGGTGCAGTTTCCCATAGGAATGCATTGAAATTTAATTAATGCATTCGTATGGGTGAAAAAAAGTCACTTACCAGGTAGCCCCGAAGACCAAGGAGTGTCTGTAACAAGGGCCTGGAACGCCACCCCCCCCTCCGCTCACCGCATTCATCCGCCTCTGCTTCTTTGGCATGCATGGGGCTTCTCCTCGGATGTTTGAATCCGGCTGTTCTAGTGGATCCTGACACTCTTTCCTCCTAAGGGATGTGTGTGAGCAGAGCGCCGAACAGCCATGCCGTGGTCATCTCCACTGGTTGCCGCCTTCAGCTGAGAGGTGGCAACCAGCTGAAAGGTGGGTGGAGCAGGG